CTCGAGTTTTATAAAACGATTCTCGAGTTTTATAAAACGATTCTCGAGTTTTATAAAACGATTCTCGAGTTTTATAAAACGATTCTCGAGTTTTATAAAACGATTCTCGAGTTTTATAAAATGATTCTCGAGTTTTATAAAACGATTCTCGAGTTTTATAAAACGATTCTCGAGTTTTATAAAACGATTCTCGAGTTTTTTAAAACGATTCTTCGAGTTTTATAAAACGATTCCCGAGTTTTATAAAACAATTCCCGAGTTTTATAAAATGATTCTCGAGTTTTATAAAACGATTCTCGAGTTTTATAAAACGATTCTCGAGTTCTATAAAACGATTCTTCGAGTTTTATAAAACGATTCTTCGATTTTTATAAAACGATTCTCGAGTTTTATAAAACGATTCTCGAGTTTTATAAAACGATTCGCGAGTTTTATAAAACGATTCTCGAGTTTTATAAAACGATTCTTGAGTTTTATAAAACGATTCTCGAGTTTTATAAAACGATTCTCGAGTTTTATAAAACGATTCTCGAGTTTTATAAAACGATTCTCGAGTTTCATAAAACGATTCTCGAGTTTTATAAAACGATTCTTCGAGTTTTATAAAATGATTCTCGAGTTTTATAAAACGATCTCTGAGTTTTATAAAACGATTCTCGAGTTTTATAAAACGATCTTTGGAGTTTTATAAAACGTATTTTTATTTTTACTTTTGCGGAGACTTTTAGCCATTGATTCCGTCGTGACCGATTTTGACACCAACACAATTCTTTTAAAGCCGCTGCTATCTCCTCTGTAGTGGCATCATCATTGGAAGATAATCGATCTACCTTTTCCTTTAACTCCTCTACACTTTTCTCTGAATTCAGGTTGTGTTGTCTTTTCCAATCACATAACGCTCGCCTGCAGCTTGCAATATGCTCCATAATACTTGCACCCGGTGGTAGATCTGGTGATTTCCATCCTTCAAGTATAATCTGTCTCAGTTCCTCATTCTGAAGCCATCGCTTATCAAATTTAAAAAATTTCGACCTTCGTGGCTTTTTTTTAAGAATATCTGCTAGGATTGGACGATGATCTGAACCCCATAATCTTAGGTATTGTACTTTTGAATGAGGAAACTTCTCAAGCCAATTCTCATTACCCACAGCCCTATCAAGGCGACATCTAACCGTGGCATTTCCTGCCCTTCTTCCTACCCAGGAAAGCATATTTCCTGTAAAAGGGAAATCCAACATGCCACAGTCACTGAGCATCTGCTTAAAAGGCAGGAAGGAACTATCAGTGCGTTGCCTGCCCCCTTCCTTCTCTTCATGACAAGTTATCTCATTAAAATCACCAATCATAAACCAAGGACCATCTCTTGTTGTTGAGAAACGCGTAAGACGTTCCCAAACTAGATCTCTTCTTTCTAGTACAGGATCACCATAAACAAATGTCAAATAGACTTTTATTCCATCAATGACTGCCTCAATGTCAATCATTCTGTTATTCGAAAATAAAATCTTAACATGAAAATCATCCATAAAAAATAAAGCTAAACCGCCGCTGAGGCCAAGTGGCTCAACGGTAAACAAACGATCAAATCCTAAGTCGGCCTGAATGTCTTGCAACAGCAGCCTCCTATTCTTTGTTTCTGAAAGGAACACTAGTCCTGGGCGATGCTTCTGACACATCTCCGTAAGGCGTCGAACTGTGAGGTCAGTCCCAATTCCTCGACAGTTCCAGCTGAGTGTCTTCATGGATGATTGTGGGATGGGTTTTTGGACCCCACCGAACCACTCGCTTTGTGTGCCTTAGACCGCTCCTCTGTAGCATTATGACTACGATGTCTTGGTTTAGCCCTCTCACCAGTGTGTTTCTGAGAGGTAGAACTTAGGACTCGCAGTCTTGGAGATCCCCGACGGAGAACCTCTTTCTTCCTTGGAGTCCTCCTGTTTCCATTCCTATCTCCTTTCACGATTCTTGAGTTTTTTTCCTTCTCAATCTTGCCTGATTTATGTTGTGTTGCAGTTGCCTCCATATCCATGAATTCCTCATCAAACAGATCATCCTCCTCATACATTCTTTCTTCTTCCTCAAGTGATACTGGACCCATATTAGATAAAGCCTCAATGACCCCTGCATCCTCATCTTCCGGCTCAGCATCATCAGTGTGGTACGTCAAAGAACGCACTACACTCTTTGGGCGAAGCGTCACGTTATCCTGCATGGTTGGAGAGGTAATCTTGCTGGCTAGCCTCTGCCTTTGTGGAATGGCATGAGCCACTACCGGAACAGCTACCTGCCCTTTTTCGTTAGCAACATCTTTGTCCCCAGCCATCACTATCTCCACTTGGTCATCATTCTTGCTGCTATCATTGTGGGGATATCCAGAACCGTTAAAAGCATCAGAAACAGATTCATTTGAGCTCCGTTTCCCGCTTCTGTCTGCGTGATGATCCGACGAGTCTTCATGGCGCTCCGGTATCTTTCGCCGAGCAGGAACAAAATGGTCCCTGGTCCTATCCTTCTCGCGCCACTCCATCGTATCTACCCGATGGTTTTGAGTGGAACGTTGCCACCTTCCGGTTGCTCTCCAAGATAATGACTTCCCATCATTACTCCTCTCAGTCCTCACAGTTCCCGGCAGCATTCCCCCTCCTGTGAGCCTCATAACATCCCGAGAAGAAGAAGCAAAACACTTATCCTTCCTATCGTGATGTTGGCGTTCATAAGGGTATCGGGCTTGTCTATTATTATGTGTCTCGGTACGCCTCCGCATCACCCGATCAGATCGTAGCTTCGCTGTATCGTGACGGTGAGTGTAGCCAGCTTCAGTGCTAGTATAAGTCCCCGAGTTCTCAGCCGCATCCTGTGTAACCGCATGATCTTTGTGACTGAGACCTGTTTTGCTATTCCCATCTTTCCGTATCATTTTCCTGTCCTCTTCTTTTGGCACCACAACACGTTCGAAAACATTGTTAAACTTTGGTTTCAGAGGACAATGATCCTTCTCATTCGTCAAAAAACCACAAGTAGTACAATGTTTAAAGAGAAGATCATAGGCTATCTTGATTGTGACTGCATCTCCTTCCTCATTTATGGCCTTTCTTGTGAACTTAAGAGGCTTACGCGTATCAATATCAATTAGCATCCTCCCCTCCTCCAGCTCAAGTGTATCCACACGCCCCAGAGTTTCCCCGAAACCACGCAGATTCTTAATTGTCCACAAGTGCAAAGGCACTCCGGTTATAGTCACCCAAAAAGGAATGATCCATGGTTAGTCATCATGTACGATCGGCTCCCACCTCACTAGCACAAACATGCAGAAATTATAGTGGAACGGTCCTTGCCTTAACACTTCGTTGATATCTGCTTCAGAGGTAAAATTCAACAAGAATTTTCCGTTACCCAAGTCATTCGCTGTGATTTGATCCTGCAATCCCCACTGCGTAGGCATATAGTTGATTAATTTTTCAACATTCTGCTTCCTCGGATTTAAAATCTTCCCTATCAAGGAGAGTTTAAACTCCCCAATCACTTGAGAGTTCTCATCAGCTAAAAGTCTGAAAGGCTCTTCCTCTTCCAACGTCATGATCCCCTTGCCTTTGTGACTGCCTAGAGAAGGTCCAGTAAACGGGTCCATTGTGCGCCTACAACTTGCACACACTGAAAGACCACTTCCTGCTCTGTTTTCAAAACGGAAAAACAGAGTATTCTTGCAGAGAATTATTAGTAGCAACAGATCACAATGTGAAGATCAAAGGATTCTAACACATCCAATGAAAAGTTGTCGGAGGAGCAAGAACACTAGAACAGCCAGAAGAGTGATCAACAAGTAACCGCCATAATCAATCTATGCTCGATGAGAGACAATGAAGAAACGATGAACGTTGATTGGCCGGTGAGCAGAGAGAAAGAGATAGTATCGAGATCCTCAAATAGAACCCACGTCTATAAACGATGAGAGACGGTGAGATCAAAGGATCAAAGGATCCTAAGGACCGAATGTGAGCTTCCGTGACAGATCAAAGGATCATGTACACTGTGATTCGAATAGAAAAGCTCCGTGCGTGAGGATCTGGTAACTGTGGATCTCCGTTTTGCTGCAGAGAATTGATCGGGGATGTGATCAATATTCCACCACACCAAAGAGTGATGGTGAAACAGAACCACCCTTCCGTCAAAAGCTTGCACCCGTCACCGCCAACGGACGTGATGAGAGAGTGGAGCTCGAAGAATCAATGGAGATCGTTGATGATGAACACTGAATCGAAGATCGCCATGGGGGTTACCAAAATCGCTCCTGAAGCCCTAGCCGCCTCTGGTCGCTTTTTTAATGAAGTGATTTATCTTAATGGACCTACAAACCCAATGTAATAATTATATGAAACCTAACTATAATATACAACTAAGATCACTTACGATTTTTTTTAGTAAAGAAGTTGATATGGCTCAACTTGGAGGGGGAAGACTGATGTGGCAACGTGAGAAGTGAGTTGTTCTATATTTTTATTAGTTAAGAATTTATCTTTTTGTAATAAATGTTTCGAAATAATATTGCATTTTTATGAAAATATATTCAAAAATTATAATGATGGGATTAATTATCAGCTTTTATAAGTAAATGTGTTAATTGTAAAATGAAAAGATCTTCAAAATTATTACTTTTTAGAGGTAAAATAGAAAAAATATACTGGACAAACACTTATCATAGAATTTCTTTGTTATAAAGAAAAACAAAACAAAAAATACATTGAAATGGTCAAGGTACAAATGTTATTTGTGATACTACAGATGAATTGCTCTTAGAAGTAGTGCTGACTCAATACTTTTAGATTTTAGCGAGGCATAAGCAAATCAATGAAAGGATAATTTACACGGATTCAACAAATTCACACATCTTGGAAATGTTTTGCCAAAACACATCGATGGTGAAACGAAAAAAAACATCACTCAAGAGTCCACAAATTCATATTCAGCACTTCCATTGCAAATGATGGAATGAATTATGAAGATAACTGCAGTTAAGGTGAAAAACTTAGTTCCATAACTGCATTCTCTGAATGAAAAAAATCAATTTTATCATTCGTGAATGAAAGTAGACATTCTTCAGTTCCATTACAAAATCAAAATTCTGGAAGCTACATCTTCATAACCCTACGACGCGTTGCATCACGTAGAGGAAATGAATGGGCATAAGTCGAGAATAAAGTGTTGAAGAATATTACCCCAGAGAGGTTCAAGGATTTAGCTCAAGATGCACCAAAGAGTGCAGTGATTTTGGGGTGTATTTTGAACTGATGGGGACTTGTAAAGACAAGATCTTTCGCATCAGAGAGTCGTCCTTCTCTGTAGAAAGCTTCCACAACATGAAAATAGGCTGCGAAGGAAGGGGAATCATTTGAGCCTATCACATCCAAGAACTTCTTAGCATCTTCCGAAGTGCCAAACTTTGCGAGATACCCATCAAAAGGCTCTGCATAGGCAGGGTAATTTTGCTTCTTCATCATCTGTAAGAGATCCAGCGCGTCGTCACCCTTCTTGATTTCCAGCAGCTTGTCTATAACACCCTTGTAAGTGGTTTGCCAAGGCTTGACACTGGCAGTTCTCACCATCTCCATAAGGAATTTGCAAGCTCCCTCGATCCTGTTTTGGCTAAGAAACCCACCTACCAAGACATCAAGCAGATCAGAGTCGATATCAAACCCTTTCTCTAGCATTTCCGCAAGACACGCAAAGGCCTTATCCACTTCGTTGTTCTTGCAGTGCCCTTGGATCAAAATAGTCCAAGTTTTTATGTCTGGAAAGCATCCTTGCGCTTCCATTTGATCTACAACTCCACGCGCTTCTTCTAACCTCTCAGCTTTACAAAGACCAAACACGAGTTGGCTGTAAGTGATGTTGTCCGGCTCATAACCAGCATCTCTCATAGCCTTGATGATTTCTTCAGCTTCCTCAAACCTCGCTACACTGGTTAAAGACCTGTGGATTCCATCATACACAGCCTTTGAGAGACACTTCCCAGTTGATTCATACTTGCTGGAAACCCGAAACACCAAATCCAAATCCGGAGTGGGACCAGCCGATAAGGACCTCAAAAGAAGACTACAATCTTGAACAGACGGCTTGAACGGACCATCCATCATAAACTCGTAAAGCTTTACCGCCTCGGTCATCATTCTAACCTTCTGAAACTGTCTTGAAACCTTTATATAAGTGTCAAGATCCACCTCGTGCCCTGCGGTCTTCATCTCATCGACAACACTCCAAAACTCTGCAACCGAATTAGACCTAGCCAAAACCCTCAAGACTGCATTATAGGTAACGGTACTGTGTCTATAACCAGAAGAAGTACCACCAACCCAGTGAAAAAACGCCAAAGCTTTCAAAGGATGTTCTCTCAGCTCCTTCAAGACCCTGATAACAAAATTATCAGACAAAGGGAGCTTCATCTCCTGCAACTCCCTCTCAAGCTCACAACTCCAATCCACTTTCGAAACAGAAGCCGAAACACTACCTGCAACATCAGAAACCGCGTTCTCCTTAAGCATTCTCTCATAGAAATGAGCCAAAGCAGCAGCGTCAGCCTTCGAATCCTCCTCCTTGTTAAGAAAACTATAAACAGTCTTGTAAGTCTCCTCCTCCATATAAAACCCTCCTCGCTTCATATCAGTCAGAGTCATCCAAAACCGTTTCATGGACCCCTGCTGCGCCAAGATCCTCAGCATCGTGCTGTAAAGGGGAGAGCTAGGGGTAAGCCCTGATTCTCTGATGACCCAATTGAGAAAGGAGTGAGCTTTCTCTGGGTGCTTGTCTAGTTTCCTGACAAGGTAGATTGCAGTCTCGTGGGTTAAAAAAGGCATATCGGGTTTCCTCAATCCTTCCTCTACTTCCTTAGAGGACCAAGCGTTTTCGACTAGTAACTGAAGCATAGACTCTGGTTTTGAAGAAAAGGAGCGGACTTTCCATGGGAATTGACTCTTTGGGACCTGAGATCCGCTTAGAGTTGAGATCTTTGAGTAAGCGTTTCGGAGAGAAGACAGGGAGACTGCTTTTGACCTGTACATGGCTGCTGTTGTGTGATAAGAAGAAGAAGACTAATGTCACCAAACTGTGATATTATTATTAGGGTTTAAGCGAAAATGCTACTTCTTGCGAATTCGGGTTTAGGCCGAAAAACCGGAATTGCATACTTGTTGAGTGATTTAGTGAACTACCCATATTTGAAGCTCAAATTAGCAAAATACCATTAATTAGACATGAAGGATACTGACACAACCATTTGGCAAGAAAATGCCGAGAATGCCCTTTTTCTTTCCTCTCATTAACACGAACCGTAAAAACATTTGTTAACATATAACACTTCTGTTAACGTCTACAATATTTGTTAACAGCCAACACATTTATTACCTCGAAGCGTAAAAATAATTGTTAACAGTTAACACTTCTGTTAACGTCTACAATATTTGTTAACAGCGAACACATTTATTAACGCGAAGCGTAAAAATAATTGTTAACAACTAACACTTCTGTTAGCGTCTACAATATTTGTTAACTGCTAACACGACGTCGAATCTAAAACCCAGAAAATTGATATCATCAAAAAATTGAAGATTCAAAGCCACTTATGAAAAAATAATGAAATTTAAAATTTAATTGTATATAGAATGATAGAGATTTGTAAAATAACTAGGGATTAGAGAGCAAAAAAAAGGTCAAAAAATTGATGATTCAAAGCCACTTATGAAAAAATAATGAAATTTAAAATTTAATTGTATATAGAATGATAGAGATTTGTAAAATAATTAGGGATTGAAGAGAAAAAAAAGGGAGAAATGTCAAAGAGAGGAGAGAGAGTGTAGAGAAGGGCAAAATGGTCCAAAGGAAAGTGATTGTCACATCATGGGTAAGTCTCTAATTATAGGTACCAAATAGGGTACTTTAGTCAATTATCTCTACTTGGTTCAAGCAGTATAAACATAAGAATGGATTTTATAAAATGGTATAGAATATATATACATCATCAGTATTAACCCCTGTTCGGAACAAACTAGGCGTTAGTCTAGCGACCTAGCGCCTATACAGAACATCAGAGATTAAATGTAAATTATATGAAATAAAACTTTGAGTGCATTACTATAGATCATATTTGTGTCTTTCTTTACATGAAAAGACATATTGCACTTGGTGGACACATTCTCGACAACCAAAGCACTATTAGGACAATTATGCCGTTGTTGAACTCAACACAACAAATATATTTTTCGTTAGAATAAGTATCAAGGTTAAACATAACATTTTATTTTAGTTAAACTTATTTATTTTATATTACTATTAGTCTTCCATCTTATGTTTTCATTTGTTTTTTCTCAAATTTTAAAATATTTAGAGCAAAATCATTGTGACACTAAATTATTTAAGAGTGTAATTTTCTCTAAATACAATGTGAAATCTAAAGGAAACAAAAAACAAAAAAAAAATAATGAGAACAAAATGGAAAATGATGCGGATAATGATGATTTTTTAGGTGGATAGAACTCCATCAAAGATATTAAAGATTCTTCTCTTGAAGTTATCGCCAAATTTTCCATTTCAGAATACAACAAACAAAAAAACTCAAGACTCACTTTTCAGACAGTTGTTTCAGGTGATAAGCAAATTGTACGAGCCATGAACTACAGATTAATGTTGAATGTCAATGATGGAGTCAACGAAAGTATTAAGATCTACGAGGTAGAAGTATAAGAACAGGCTTGGTTTGATTATTGAAACTCATTTACGTGAAAGCTATTAATTAATCCATACACACTTAAAATATTAATATTTTATGTATGCATTTAAAAATAAATAAGATAAACAAATGATAAGTTTCTTTTGGATTGTCGTTGTAACATGATCTTTAGAGACGTGCACATGTAAAGAATTGATGTGCGGCCTCAGTCAAATTTGTTTTTCTTATGGATTGAGTATAATTTTTTCTTTTGTTGATCAAACAGTGAGTATATTTTTTAAATGTCATTTTAATATTAGCTTTTGTATACTGCATATTTTGTACTAAAGTAGAGTTTTTAAAACCATCTTTCATGAACAGTAACATTTGTCTTTCTCTCAAGTAAAAGAATCAATGGATTAAAACTTAAATATATTGGGCCAAAAAATATCTTGCTTTCAAAAAAAAAAAAGAATTCCAACCATATACCGAGAAGACAATAAAACATATATATTTTTATTATTTATTCTATATATTAATTGGCAATACATATATTGAGACACTAGTAAATTTACAACAAATAACTTAGTATCAAAATATTTTGAAATTTAATTTAACATGAACACATCTTCCGTTTTTTTCTTCATTTTCATGTTTTAATAGATAGAGTGAAAAGCCCCGTTATACTCCTAAATATATTAAAATTGAAAACCTTCTCACAAATGTCAATTAAAAGTTGTATTACTTTGAATGGAAAACTAAAACAAAAACAGAAGGAATATTATAACTTTATTTAGAGATTTCAAGTGATTTTTATGTTATAATTGTTTTACTAAAAAACTATTGTTACAATATTTTATATAAATTAATATATAAATAATCTTTTACATATAATGTACCATAATATCTTTAGTTCCTCATTTTTATATATGATCTACACGGAAAATATAAAATGAAAGCTCTCTCTATTAAAAACTAATTCAGACTTATCATTTTCTAGATTCTATTTCTTTTTACAAAAGTACCTAAAATTGGAAAAAAATAATCTAAGTTTGGATAATTTCAATATACTTTTAAATTATACGCTCTATAGGCTCACATAGATTTTAAGTTAGTTATTATTGTATTTAGAATTGTCAGTAACTGTTTCAGAATTTTTCCAAGGTATGTATAATATATTTTTTCTAATTCTGCATATTATTTTAAAATTAAGATTTCATCAGTAAATAGTATAATAATTTTTCGATTTACAAAAGAAAAAAATTCATAATATTATTTAATTTTCAAATTATAATTTTAAAAAGAAAAATTTACATGATATATTTTATAGTATTGTACATATTGGTATTTCTTTATCTATGTCAAGATATAAATACATGAAATTACTATATATACATATATATATATTTTTGTTTCTGCAGAAAAATATACATATATTACAGAAATGAATAATATATAATCATTACTATGTTAAAATAGTAAATTTATAATTACTTATTTTCTAGGTTATATGATAATTTTTTTTGTTTATTTCCATAAAAAATATAATAATTAACATGTTGAGAAGAGTTTTTCAAATATATTGTATTTTTAGACTGTGAGATTTTTCTTGTTGTACTTTTCATTTTATATTAAACTATAGTAGATATTTGTAATCAAATTAAGTTTTCATTTTAAAAATATTACAATAAATGACAGCTCTTTTAAACAAACAAAATTTTACAAGTATTTAAGAAAGGAAAACTAGATACCAATATTAATCTAAAAAATCTCATTACAATAAAGAATATTAATATATACCACTATTAAAACCAACTGACTGTAACATATATTATAATATTGCAGCTGCAACAGTTTCCATATGTGTCACATGACTCACATGTCCAACATAAACACGTTAGAAGTGAAAACTCTCTTCTAACCTTAAGACAATTTATAATTATTATTTTAATATTATAAATACAGTTAAAATTTGAGTATCATTTACAAAGTTTAGATTTTTTAAGATTTTGAGTGATCTCTTATTGTTGAAACTGTCCATTTTCTTATCTACCACACGTCACAGATTCTAATTATAACTACAATGAGAAGTCTAAAGAAAACAAAAAAAAAAAAAAAAGGACAAGCAAATGGAAAAAGAAGAGGATAGTGATGATTTTTAGGTGGATGGAACCCTATCAAAAGATATTAAAGACCATTCTGTTGAAGGCATCGCCAAGTGACATTTCAGAATATAACAAACAGAACTCAAGACTTAATTTTCAAACAGTTGTTTCTAGTGATAAACAAATTGTAGGAAGCATGAACTATCGGTTAGTGTTGAATGTCAATGATGGATGCAACGAAGGTACTAAAATCTACGAGGTAGAAATATTCGACTAGGCTTGGCTCGATTATAGGAAAACTCATTTACGTGAAACTATTAATTAATCTTCATGTTTTTTTTTAAAAAAATACTAATATATCTATGTATGTATTTAAAAATAAATAAAAACAAAATAAAAAAATAATAGAGCTTTATATATTTTTTTCAGATTTTGATTTAATCCTTTTTTGAAATTTTTAAGATTAACTTAATATGTTTTTGTAACATGATCTTTAGGCATGAGACCATGTAAACAAGGGATGTGCTTAGTGCCTCATTCAAAATTATTTTTATTCAAATTTATTTTTCTTATGTAGTTAGTATATTTGTTTTAAAGTCATCTTAATATTACTTTTAATCTAATACATATTTTGTACAGTCCTGCATAAAAGGAGATAAAAGGGAATTAAATCTAATTCACACATGATGAAAAAATTAAAATATTCCGAGAAGAAAATGATTATAGTTGACCGCTGTACATTGCCAACATCAGGAAATATAATAACCGAGAATCCCGAGTAATTAGAAAAGCTGCTAATACTAAATAATAATAAATTAGGTAAAAATTCGTATCTAGGGCGGGGTGAGATTAACATTATATTTACAAAAATATAATTTTCTTTAAACATAGTTTCTAAATTTACAATATACAACGTTAAATATTTTAAGTAAGTTACATGGAATAATATGCACCAAAAAACTCTGCTCGTTTTATAATCCTATACTAGGTGTTTTGCCCGCACATGTGGGCATAATTTTCGTACAATTTATTATTAGTCTATATTTTATTAATTCAAACCAATATAATAAATTATGATTTATGTTTTAAAATTAAAATTAATTATAAATGACAACACTCACATAACAAAATATTTTTAAAATATATCTTTACAATGTGTTGCTTTAATTTATTTTAATTATAATTTTTTCTATCTTACTTTTTTATTTCTACAGTAAAAAATATATTTTCAAGATAACAATATAATACATAAGAAGTATCTTATTTTCTTAAAATATAATTTTTAAT